GAATTTTTTAAAAATGTGCATGATGAAAAACCTTTTCATGGTCCCCACCCCCAACCCCTTCCAAAGAAAAGATAATCTGTTTTCTTTTGTTAATGGCTCCCTTCACCAACCCTTCTGAATGCCCTTCTCGTTGCTAGATGGGAAGCTGCCCCTTCATGAACACTTAATAAAGCCAATTCCATGTTCTAACAAAGGGTAGAAAAAAATTTTTCCTCCCTCAAAATAGTAAGTATAAACTTTTACCAAAAATCAGAGCTAATTGCCAAAACTGGTTTAGCTCAGTGGATAGAGCGTCGGCCTGCGGACTGAAAGGTCCCAAGTTCGATTCTGGTCAAGGGCATGTACCTGGGTTGCAGGCACATCCCCAGTAGGAGATGTGCAGGAGGCAGCTGATCGATGTTTCTCTCTCATCGATGTTTCTAACTCTCTATCTCTCTCCCTTCCTCTCTGTAAAAAATCATTAAAATATATATTTTTTAAAAAATCAGAGCTAATTAAACAGAATGGATTTGATAGCTGGAGGCTGTTTGACTCCTTCTGGGGAAGGTGTCCATAGAATTCCTGACCCATTGTTGAACTCCTTTTATGTTTGTTTGTTTGTTTGTTTGCCAAATCCCTCTACCAGGAGAAACTGAGACAAGTAGAAGGGACAGGGGCACAAGATCATCTCAATATTGCTATAGCCCCCAGCACCTGGTGCTATAGAATAGTAAGAAGCTAGTAAAATTCCAGGACAAGTGGAATAGGAAAACTAAGAAATATAGTTAAAGAGCAGTTTGCAGCCACCTAATAATTCCTATCTTCAGTAAACCAAGGATACTTAAGGGGCCTAGCTGGTTTGGCTCAATGGACAGAGCTTCAGCCTGTGGACTTAAAGGTCCTGGGTTCGATTCTGGTCAGGGGCACATGTCCAGATTGCAGGCTCGATCCCCAGCAGGGGGAGTGGAGGAGGTAGCTGATCAAAGATTCTCTCTCATCATTGATGTTTCTATCTCTCTCTCCCTCTCCCTTCCTCTCTGAAATCAATAAAAATATTTTTTACAAAAAAAGAGTAAATGGTTTGCACTTCTCCCCAACCAGAGGGTAAATAGCTTAAATCACTCTACTGAGAGAGAGAGAGAGAGAGAGAGAGAGAGAGAGAGAGAGAGAGAGAGAGAGACAACAGAAATCCAATTAAGTGCCATTTGCCAACCACACCTAAGGGCAGACAAATTAAGAGACTGGCCCAGCCAGTGTGGCTTAATGGTTGAACATCTACCAATGAAACAAGAGGTCACAGTTCAATTCCTGGTCAGGGCATGTGCTGGGGGCTGCGGGCTCAATCCCCAGTATGGGGTGTGCAGGAGGCAGCTAATTAGTGATTCTTTCTCATTACTAATGTTCTTATCTCTCTCCCTCTCCCTTCCTCTCTGAAATCTTTAAAATATATATATTTTAAAAAGACAATCTCATTTTCATTTTGGTACATCAGCAAATGAATATTCTATTAACCTGCCCTAAGACTTCCCCTAAATTCCCGGCTTTTAAAACCCCTGAAAATGAAAACATATCCCCTAATTGGCAGCTCTTCCTGGGCTAACCCCCTGAACCTTGTCCCCAAGGCCCCCTATTCTCTGACTTCCCAGTGAGCTAAGGCAGCCCAACCTAGGCTCTCCTGTTGCTTCTCCTATGCTCTTCTTGTTTCATTCTCCTAAGTATGTTTTTGCTGTGGTCAACAAATTTTTGCTTACTTTTCTACACTTTGTCTCTTGATTGAAATCTCTCCTTCAAGAAGACAAGAACGGAGGTCTCCTTGTTAGGGACAGAAATAGAATATTGGGGACTAGCTACAGACATAAGAAATCTTAATCATGCTGTTAACCTTCATTGTTCTGATTAAGGAAAGCACATTCTACCCTGGGGCTGTATGCCCCTGGGACCTGGGAGTCAACCTTGGAATGAAGTCCATTCTCCTATTATCATAGATTAACAACCTTGTAGTCCAATCAAGGCCCGCCCCAGCCCACATTGCCTGTAATACCCATTTTGCATAACCATTCTTATTTCTTTTGCCTACTTCACCATGGAGGGGTGCAGAGTAGATTTTTGGAGATGACCTGCTGCTCTCCCATACTGCCAGCATTACGGGAATAAATGCTCATTTGTGATTCAACTCTGTCTCAGCTTAATTGGCTCAAGTAGTGACAGGCAGCCGGACCCATTGGTTGTCCCATTTCATCCTTATCTTCTCCTCTCCCCGGGTAACACTAGAACACTGCTTGACACAAAGCAGGTACTCAGTAAGTACCTATAGGATGAGTCACTGACATAGGTTGCACTTTGTTATAACTGTATGTGGCCTCAACAATCGAACCAAGCCATGTACAGAAAAGAGACCAAGTCTGCCAAGGTAGGTGGAGGAAGGAAGATTTCCCAGAAGCAAAGAGCAGCTCTTCCCTGAAGGAGCAGCTTTTCACCAAGCAGAGGCTGCCAGAAAGCCATGTGGACAGGGGTATGCCCTAATGGAAGCTGCAGCAGATGGCCGAGCTACTTTCCAATTCAAATTCCTCCCAAGGTTTTATTTCCTGGGGTTTTGTTGTTTCATCATCTCCTTCAAACATTCAGCTATAAAGGGGGTACATACTCAGGGGTTGTTGTGCTTCTCTACCAGGGAATTAGCCGAAAGAAAACAGCAGGTAACAAAAAATAAATACTATGGAATGTTTTATTTACTGGGCAGTAAGACTCTTAGACTTTCTGAGAAATATAATCCGAAAACAGTCTCCAAGTCCACTAGAAATAAACCACTTTAAAAACAAATTGCTATCCTTTATTTTTCTTCTCTAAACGGGTTCATGCAAAAACTACTTGATTCCCAACAGAAAAAAAAGAAAAAGGTAATCTAAACATTTCATAGTCACTTCTTCTTACTCCAAGGAGAAATCTGGGAGGGAGGAAGAGGAGATGGAAGTATTTGAAAGAGAATAAAAACTGAAATTCAAAATGCAGAACAAAGGAAAGTTAAATAAAAAAAACTAATGAGAATAAGGGAAAAGAGCAAGTGGAAATTTTTCAAAACCTCTAAGAGCAGAAAAACACCCCTTCCCGTCACATTCTCTTTAAAAATGGAAGAGCCCTGGCTGGTGTGTCTCAGTTGGCTGAGCACTATCCCGTGCACCAACAGGTCACCGGTTTGATTCCTGGTGTGGGGGGAGAGGGAGGCAGCCAACTGATGTCTCTCTCACCCTCTCCCTTCCTCCCTAAAAATCACTGATAACATTTTATAAATAAATAAATAAACAACAAACTAGGAAAGGGCCAATAAGCCAGCCCCGAGGAGGAAAGGTGTAAAGCCCTTCATGCCAGAAGGAAACAAGTCAGGGATAGAGAATGCTAAGAAATGGGCTCAATCCCACTCTAGCATTTCCCCCCCTCACTATGCCTCCATCTCCCTACCATGCACAAGGGACCGCATCACAAAACCCTTAGGTTGAGAGCCAGCCTTCCCTCTCACACTGCTCTCCCCCAAAACAGAAAGAACCACCCCAAACTCTGAAATAAAATGCATTAGAGTGTGGTATTAAAATTAAAATAGACCTAATTTAAGTAACTAAACCTCCCAGAGAAAATTCCAGGTGTAACCAGTGCTCTTCCTTCTAAGAGATGGATGGGGGGGGGGGGGGGGGCGGGGGCGGGGGATGCGGGAGTGTTCTTGAAAATCAAAGTAAAAACTTGCTTTTACTACCAGCTTGACATAATAAACTCTGCCTTTGAGATACTTAATTCCTAACTTTTCAAATTAATATGTGCTTCTGTAATCAAGATCCCTGGATAATGCCCTGGCTGGTTTTGCTCAATGGGTAGAGCGTCCGCCTTCGGACTGGAGGGTCCCTGGTTGGATTTCAGTCAAGGGCACGTGCCCGGTTTCGGGCTCATCCCCAGTAGGGGGCGTGCAGAAGGCAGCCGATCAGTGGTTCTCTCTTGTCATTGATGTTTCTATCTCTCTCTCCCTTCCTCTCTGAAATAAATAAATAAATGTTTTAAAAGATCCCTGGATAATAACCACTTTGGACACTGGAAACAGAAGCGATGGTCAAGAACCCCGTTTGCAATAACTTTTCATAAAGAAGTTGATAATTATAAGCATCTGCATCCCAGGAGGGTTATGTACCTCGCTCGCAGCACAACAGCTGCCTCTCGCCTTTTAATGCCAGTTAATGAGCTGGTGTGAAGGTGGGGTGGAAGGAGAGGGAAGAGGGCTGTCCTGAAAGCCTGGGAGATCAGGCGATCTTTATCCCCAAAATCATCACGCAAGCCAAGGGAGGCATTCTCAAAAGGCCAGCTCTGTGCAATCTGGATTCAATATGCAATTTATCAGATCTAGTCTTCTACTAGTCTTCTCACGGCCAGGCCCGGGCTTGGAGACGGGGAGTTCCTGGTGAAAATTTACCTTAGCAAATGGCCACGGAACAGATAGGCCTTTCAGAGCCACCCAGGGCTCTGCCCGGAGACCTGAGGCGACACCGAGGGGCTGGAACAGCGCGCGGCTCCGAGCACCGCGGCGCTACAGGTTCCCCAGCGCGCACCCGGCGGACTCCCACAGGTGGGCGGCGCTCGGCGGGGGGCAGGGGGGCTGGGCCAGAGGAGTGGGCTCCGGGATGGACGCGAGGCGCTGGGGAGTGGAGTTGGCTTTGCCTTAAGGAAACAGGGCCGGAGAGGAGCTTGGCGTTGTCAGCTCCGTGGTTACCGGCTTTTGCCCAAGGCAGGAGGAGCCCCGGCGGAGAGGAGGGCGCGCACCGCCCACCCTCCTCCCCGCGGGCGTCGGCCTTCTCCCCCGGCGCACAGCCGCGGGCCACCGGCTGCATGCGGCCCGGCACGTAGGAGGCTGCCCGACCACACGCGGGAGGGGGAAGGGCGCCCCGGGCCCGAGGAGCCCCAGCCCCTCTCCGGCCGTTAGCCTCCCCGGCCTAAGCCTAACCCGCTTCGGCTCACCCCCGCCCCTCGCCCCGAACCTCCCTCACCGGTGTTGGCTTTGATGTTCTCGCGCAAGAAGTGGCCGCTGGAGAGATGCTGGAGGCCGAAGTTCTGGGCGATCCTCTGGCACACGGTGCCCTTGCCCGAGCCGGGCGGCCCGAGGATGACCGCGCGCAGGAGTTTGGAAGCCATCGCCTTCGCGTGGAGTGGGGCAGCCACGCGCGCTAGCCGGACAGCGGCCTCGGAGACGCACCGGGAACTTTGATTCTCCTGCGCCGGCTCCTGACACTCGCCGCTCGCGCGGGGACTTGGCGGCCGCCCTGCAGGGAAAGAGAGAGTTATAAGGCAGCCCCTCCCTTCAGCCCGCGGCGGGGCGGCTGGAAGGCGGAGTGAGGCGCCACGCTGCACCTCCCCTCCCTCCGCGCCCCAAGCCGGGAGCTGGGAGAAGTCCCCCGTCCCCGCCCCAGGCACGATCAGCCTTGGGGCTCAGAGGTGGGCCGGAGCAGACCTACTTCGATCCCTCCATCTCGCTCCCCACACCGCATCAGAGTTAGGGGTTGGGCAGCCCGGCATCCTCCAGCCAGTCCCACACAGGAACCCGGGTCGGCGGTGACTCCAGGCGCACCCCTCCCCCGTCGCCCCTCGCACCGGGAGGCCTGGGCGCTGAGCCCCGGCGGGGTCCTCGCACGTGGGCAGCGTTTAATCCGCGCCTCGGCCCTTCCCTGCGGCTGTCACATCCCCGAGAGTCGCAGCGGCCGCTGCGCCCGCTGCCCGCACTGACAGCGCAGCGCCCACCTCCGCCGCGGGTTGACGGATGCGCTCCCCGCCGCGAGGAGCCGGAGTCCGGCGCCTCTCCACCCAAAGCAGCCGCAAAAGCACACACCTCGGCCGGGACGCAGCGCTCCCACAGCTTGCAGCCCAGATCCCGCTGGGCGGTGCCGCCTCCGCCCGCCCCCACTCCGGTCCCGGCCGTCCACGCGGGGCTAGCGCCTTACGTAAGCCGAGGAGCCCGCGTCCGTTCCCCTGCCCACCGCGCTGCCACCCCGCCTTCCGGGCCCACGTGCTCCCCAAGACCCAGTAGGGGCTGTAGGGGCGAAGGGAGGTGGGAAGACACAAGAGACAGAAGGCCCTTTCTTGTGGTCGCCTAGGCGCGCGACCTACTGTTCAGGGGAAATAACACAACTTGTTGAGCGCCGACTGTGCGTCAAGTTGGGCCAGGTGATTTCCTTAGGCAAGGACCACTCCTGGTCCAGTATGCACAGGTGAGGAAAGGAGCCTTGGAGTGTGGCCATTCATTTCATTCGTTGGTTCATTCAACAAACGTTTATTGAGTGCCTACTGTGTGCCAGACACAGGCGCTTAGCCTATAGCTGAAAACCAGAGACGGAATGTGGCTCTCCTGGAAGCCACATTCCAGCGGGTGTTTTGGACCCTCATCTGCCTGATTCCAAAACCTAGGCTTTGGGGCAGAAGGAAGGAGGTGCGGTCATCACTCACCTGCCCTCAGGATCCTATTGCCAACTGATTCCAGGACTTCAGGGCCCAGCTGTTGACACTACACTTACAACTAATCAAGTCCAAATGGGTGCTAGCTTCTCCCTCCCCTCCCCTCCCCTGCATATCCAAATTCATATCATCTTAAATCAGCTCTCACCCCACACAGCCTTCATTTCCCGCTGGGACTAGTGTGCTAACTGCCTGCCCATACATCTCTGGCTTCTGTCAATCCATCCTCACAGCTACCAGAGATATTGCTAAAGTGCAAATGAATTTCTATTATTTCCCCACCTCTGATATTATGGTCCCTTCAGGATAAAGTAAAAATACCCAGCAGAGAAAAACAGGTGCCTTCCATATACATTTGCATTCCACCAACTGCCCTTCTCTTCCCTCCTTCCACAGGCTTCCAGCCTTTGAGAATCCATTGCAAGGTTCTGAGCCACCAACCATTGCGCACAGATGGGGAGGGACAGTGTGGAGAGGCGCCTCCTCTAGGTTCCTGGCTGGCTGGCTGTTGGGAGGCTGGGGTGAGGGAGGAGCCTAGCACCTATCCTGTCTGGCCCCTGGCAGCCCTTGTTCTCCACACACACCTACAGCCAGGCAGCACCTAGTGTCTGGCTACCTGGGAGCACACAAGAACCACCAATCCAGGGCAGCATTCATTTTCTCTAATATATCAGAGCTGCTGTAGACCTCAGAAGGTTGTTAGCTGAGCCCCTTCAGCCCTTCACCTAGAACAAAGAAGAGCTGAGGCAGGGAGTAGGATGGGTTACAGCTCCCCTCTTCTTCCTGCCACATGCCTTATAATCTATAGTAGATTCTATGTGCTGGTTTGCAAACCTGAGCCTGTCTCAACCACTCCGTGGGCTTATTAAAACAGACTGTCGAGTGCTATCCCAGTTTCTGATTCTGTGGGTCTAAGGTAATACTAAAAGCGTAATATGCTAATTAGACTGGATGTACTTCCAGATGACCTTCTGGACTAAGATGAGGCTGCAAGGGAAGCCCGGGTCCCGGGTGCTAGAGGGAAGCCAGTGCTGGCAGCCAGGGGAAGGAAGGCTTACTCTTGCACAAATTTCGTGCATCAGGCCTCTAGTTTCTAATAAGTTCCCAGGTAATGCTGCAGCTGGTGATCCGGAGATCACACTTTAAAAACCACTGCTCTAGTGAAATAAGCATTGAGAAACATGGGAGATGTGTGGTCTCTTGATTACTCTGCCTGCTGTGGGATGTTAGGACCTTTGTATCTATCAAAAATTAATTCTGTAAGTTCCTACAGAAAATACAGCTTCTAGCCTCCACAAAAACCCTGACCTATCATCACCCAGTTCTTTTGCCTACTTTTAAAATGTCTTACCAACATCACCTTATAGTGGAGCAGTGTTGGCCACTCACATGGTCCTTGGACTTTGTGTTTTAGGAGCTTATATTGTGAAACAGAAAGAGGAGTTGTGACATAGGTAAACTCAATACAGAAACTCAGCCTGGAATGGAACCTAGCAGTTAACAACAGAGCACTCAAAGAACCTTCCTATGTAGAGTCACATCAGGGCCCCAAAGCTCAGCTGCTGATTGGAAGCAGTATAATCAGACGAAATGGGTTTTGGAGTGAAACACCCCTGGGATTAGACTACAACAGCACCATTTACTGAATATGCAAGCTTCTTGAGCTCTGGGATCCTTAGTTTGTTTATCTGTAAAAGGGAGACAGACTTATCTCATTGACTGGTGGTGAGGCTGAAATGAGATAATGCACATAAAGGACTTACCACAGTGCTGGGCATATGATAAGTATTTCATCATAAATATTATCACCATTATTAAAATGGGACAATTATTTAGTCTCTCCGATCTCAATTCCCAAATTGTTAGGAGTAAATGAGCTAATGTGACAAAGAACCTAGCAGGCTCCCTGGCCTTAGGAAATGGCAGCTATTCTTATCAAATATCCCATGTAATCAACTTCCTATTTCCTTGGCCTATAGTTTTATACCCATTTATAATTTATCATAGTCTTCAAAATAATGTACATCTATGTGTTTGTCTCCCCTGTAGAAAAACTAAACTCTAAAGGTGGCGGCCAAGTTTTATTCATCATTCTCTCCTGCACTTTGCCTGTAATAAGTATTCTGCTAATGTTGGCAAGTCTCCCTCCTCCTCCCAACACCCTTGACATTAAGTGGTATAGCCTCTCTACAATGTCACTACATTTACATGTTCCTTCATCAGTTCTCACAAGCTTGCAAAGAAGGTAATGTTCTTGCTCCTATTGTACAGATGAGAAAGCTAAGATTGTAAGAGATTAGGTGAACTGCCCCAGGTCACAGCTAGTAGGTGGTGGAGCAGGGACTCAATCTCAGATTATCTCATTTCAAGCATAGCACTCTTGTTTGTTAAACTGCAGTCATTTCTATACTACTTTCATAATCTTGCCATCACCTTGCCTCATCTTGTCTCTTATCTGCTTATCCTGTTCCTTTATATTGACTCAATTTGTTTAAATAATTTATTTGAAAAAGAAACTATATATAACTCACAAGCCATAAATATAAGGATAAACTAAAATGGATACAAGAAAAATAAAATAGGAGACCATATTCCAACTGGACTCGTTTGACTGACTACCTGTTGAGTTTCTGAGTTTAAAATTTATTTAAAACATAAAGTAAGGGGGTTGTTTACCAAGTGTTAGAGAGGTGTTTAAGACATATAGCATCTAAATGAGACTTTGTTTATCTGTAATTAGTATAGCTCAAAATGAAATTAGAAATGGAGTACTTTTTAAGTATTCAGTTTAATATTATCTAAAGCCAGATCCAAGTGTTGTAGGTGTGGGAACAGCACCAGGTGTCTGACCAGTGGGGTCAGAAAAAACCTGGGTTCAGCCAAGTTGGTACTTGGGTTCTGACTAGGAAAGAATTCAGAGCCAAGACCCAAACTGTATCAGAACATGTATTTGGTAAATCACAGAGGTAGAAGAAATGGGCCTTTGGAGCTTGGGAGTGAGGAAGGCAATGGTAAGGTGAAGGTGCTGGGGCCACAGAAGGAGGAGTGAGGGGTGGGGGAGGAGAGTAGAAAAGGGGAGGAGGGGCATACTCCTAGGAAGAGCACACTGGGTCCTCCAGCCTCAGGGTTTTTAGGGTGGAGGTTTTAGGGGAGGGCCCAGGAGAAGGTCTCAATAAAATATTCAGCAGTTTTCCAGGTGTGTCCTTCCAGGGTTGTGGTCTCCACTGATTGGCCAGCACCAGGGCAGGGGTTATTATTCAATGCAGCTGATCCTGAGGTCAGCCAAGGCTGATTTTATTGCTTATCTGGGCCTGGAGCTGAAATACAACTGAGGCATAGATGTTATCTCTAGGGAGGAAAGGTCAGGGGTCCAAAGGCATGACCAGCGATATGCTAGGGTAGGGAAAGTCACCCTGTGATTGATTGTCCATTGCTAGGCACCTGGAGCTTTCCACCCTGGTGACTTCTGTACCTGTCCCATCGTCCTTGTTCTTCTCATGTCCGTCTAACTACCTACAACAACTGTACCACCTAGAACAGGGGTGGGCAAACTTTTTGACTCGAGGGCCACAATGGGTTCTTAAACTGGACCGGAGGGCCAGAACAAAAGCATGGATGGAGTGTTTGTGTGAACTAATATAAATTCAAAGTAAACATCATTACATAAAAGGGTACAGTCTTTTTTTTTTTTTAGTTTTATTCATTTCAAACGGGGCCAGATCCGGCCCGCGGGCTGTAGTTTGCCCACAGCTGACCTAGAACCATCTCTAACACTATATCAAATTATCTCTTACATCACCAGGGATATACGTCACATACTCTACTGTACCTCAAAGTGTACCTTTTGTGGATGAAAGGGGCCACATGCTAACCTGACAAGTTCAGGGGAGGCCTGCATGGCAGTCTTGCAAACTCAGAGACCTAAAGTAACCACAAAGAATGGTCTGAAATTAAACTTTAACTAAAAGCAGTTATGGTGGGTAGTTACATCCTAGGCCAGTATCTTCACTGACAAGGTCAACATTTACCTTAACTAAGCCTATCTGTCTTTTTGCATCTATAATAACATACCCTTTGAAATGTCTGGGTAACTTGTAACTTCCCTTTTTCTGGACCCCTGGAGGC